GTTTTAAGGCGTCTGCCTCCGTAAATCTATTTTCGGAGGCAGGTACACTATAAGACCCGCCTTCGAAAATACTGGCCCAACTCCGAACCAACGTAAAGCCCATACCTAGCAGTCTATCGGGCTCATATCTAAGCCAACATTTAGGGTTTCCTCTCTCACTTCTCTTCCCCCCTCGCGTAGTCGTGTTGGACAGAGCGGGCGCGTCTCCCTCCCTCCCTCCCCTGTTTCACGCATCTCTCCTCTCCCTCACCTCTCTCACTCTCTTCTCTCCCTCACCTCTCTCGGTTGCGGTGGTGAAGGGCTTGACCTCACGAGCGCTGGCACAACGTGGCCTCCCGGCTCGGCGGCGTGGTCTCGCGGGCGTGGCCTCGCAGACGTGGGTGTGATGTGGCCTCTCGGCGCGGCCTTGCCCCTCCTCCTCCGTGACCCTCCTTCGTGACCGGTGGTGGATCCTAGCTCGCCGTGCTTTGATCCTCGGCAGCGGATCTGGTTGTGGAGACACGGATCCGGTGGTGGTGCGACTGGATCTGGTGGTGGTGCGACTGGATCCGGTAGTGGAGGCGCGGCGAGGGGCTCATCCCTTCTTCAGCGGTGTCGGCTGCTCAGATCCGGTGAGCGGCTGCAGCGGCATGCACATCTAGCGAGCGGTGGCGCATGGATGGACTCGACAGGGTTGTCCACGGGTTTTCTTATTTTTTATTTTTTATTTGATTTACCGAGGTGGGCATCTGAACCGGCTCAGGAAAAATCGATTTACCGTAACCTTTGGACCGAGACAGATGTGGTGCCCGCCTCGGTTAACCCATTTTGCCCGCCTCCGAAAAGTTTTCTGTAGTAGTGAAATTCTAAAATCATTCTGATTGATGTCCAACTTGTTTTAATAATATCTCATGACAAAAGTATGAGATGCAACCAACAAGAAGGCATCACAAATTTAATACAGAATGCATTCATGCTAGCTCCATCTCATATTTTTATTGTTAAAAAGTTACATTGTTTAGAATTTCTCGACAAAAGTTCATCTTCTATGTTTTCCCTTTTAGGTAGAACTAAATATAATTTTGAGAAGATTTGAGGGACACTTTCACGAGCTCTCGATATTTTATTTGTGTTTTTTTTTTATCCAAATCTATCCCTAGACTTTTTCTCGTTTTTCTTAGAAGCTTAGAGATATTTTTGTTATTTAAAGACCTTACCAGTTATTCACTAGATTTTTTCCAAAAAAATAAAAAGAATAAAACCACCTTGAAAACCACTTCTAATAGAAGGAGGTAGTTTAACAGTTCTGAGAGTTGAATAATAAGATGTCCGAATTTAAAATACGACGAGCAAAATCAGAACGAGACGATAGCTATAGGATGTTATATAAACGGACCTACCGGACTCGGGCCCAAACTTTCAGCCACAGGCGAACGGGCTCTAAACAGGCCCAGCCCAATCAACAGAGCCGCACCGGAAGGTTTGACCACCGACACCCCGACAGGTCAACCACGCACGCGAGCTCTTGTTAGTGGTGAGGCCCATGACGGGTGTGGCCGCGTGGGCCTATATGGCCCGCCATTACCGACATCAGGAGTCTGGTTTTTGCCTCTTGTACAAGAATACGGTCAGAGTCAGGGCCCCAATGGAATGGTCTACTGTGCGTCTGTACCTGTACCGCGCACGGGCGTGCTAATCTCCAGTAGTCCAGTTCTCCACTACATTTAAGATACGTGATGACGAAAGCAGAACGCTTAACCATCTTCTCTTGGAGTTCAAGCAATCAATCTGTTCAGGGCTTATCATCTATGATATAGTATTTTCCTCTCACAATAAATCAGCACTAGCCGAGCTTATCAGCCTAGAAATCAACCAGCGAACTGACTGAATAGCTTTTTTTTATGAAACTGGAGAGGCAGAAATCCCCTACAGAAAATTTATTGAAAAGGGCGTCAGAATACTTGCATACTTGCACATCTAATTCTAACGGGGAATACTTGCATACTTGCACATCCAAAATGCTCCGGTCCAAACAAAACAGAAGGGAGCAGAACTAACAGAATTAAGAACCAAACAAAACAAATAACACAGAAGGGAGCAGAACTAACAGAATTAAGAAAAAAAAAGACAAGCAATAGCATTTTGGATGTGCAAGTATGCAAGTATTCCCCGGTTCCCCCCTCCCACGGAAGCAAAGGGCGTTAGAATTAGAACAGTCCTGTGACGAGCGCATTTTTTTTTCTTGAACTAACAAACAGCTCGCATCAGTGTGGGGGGACAGCAATTAAATGCACTAATCCGTTGGCATTTTCGCTGGCTATACGCAGTGATCGAGCATGGGAATCATGCCATTCTGCTTTTGCCTTCACGCTCATCATGTACGATGATGGTGTAGGTAAGCTGCTGTCGTGACGGCGGACGCGGATGGATCGACGGATGACGAAACAAGGCTCTGTACTGTACGTTACGAGTTACGACCACTACAAGTCTCCATTTTTATGACCCAACAGTTTAACAAAACCGGCAGCCGGCCTATACCCACCCTGCAGCCAAAACAAACATCAGGCTGTTCGGTTGGCTGGTTCGTGAAGAAGTACTGCTGACTGATTTGTGTGAGAGAAAAATACTGTTCCGGCTAGAAATTTACGATCGTTTACGACAAGCCACAGCCAAACGAACAGGCTGACCTGATAAAAATTCAAGAGTCTTATCCGGTCACGGTTATCCCACCCAACCCAATTAAAGCAATCAAACTCATAGCAACCTGATAAAAATTGGCTCTAACCACACCGAGATTTGGCTTACACTGATTTATTACGAGAGAAAAACACTGTTTGCTCGATGAAAAATACTGCTGAAGTAGTTCAAGCGAATATGACCTAAATTAAAACGACGTACCGTCTTGTAACGTTTAAACGGCGTGTAAACAGGTTAAACGATTGTTTAGATGAACAATGACTACGGTATATCATTATGGTCATACGTTACTGGTGCCTATATATTTTATGCTTTTTTAGAACATACTAATCTTATAGAAATCATGTAAGAATTTTACAAAAATAGGTTCATATAAAAAACACAAAACATAGAAAATCTCATAATCTAAAGAGGCCTTACAAGTCATGGATGGACATAGAGTGGTAAAGCCCGACCAGCGGCGGATCTGTCGGCCTCCCTCCCTAAATTTTCCTATCATTGGAGGATGAAAAGAAGGAGCTTGAGAGTTGAGCTAAGATTGAAGACGATAAGCTGAACTTGGTGCATTTGCCCCCATATGAACTTAAGCCCCCCCCTAGATTTTTATCCTAGATCCGTCACTGAGCTCGACTACCTTGATCTCTGTCCGGCGGGTTCCTCGGGGTCAATTAGTATGCAAATCACGTAGAGGAGATTATAGGCTCGCTTGACATGATCCTTCAGGTACCTCTCCGCCCTTGAGGAGGAGGCATTTTTTTTTGTGGCTTAAGCTTCTCATTCAAAAATGGTTCCAGTTCCAACGCCTCTACTGTTCATTAAAAAATTCTTCTCTTTCTAAACCGTTCGGTACAACTTTTCTGGTTCATCCGCGTAAGCTTCTGCCAAACAGACCTTGATGAGGCTGTGTGTTTAGTTCGTGAAATTTGAGAATTTGGCTATGGTAGTACTTTCATTTTTATTTGGCAATTGGTGTTCAGTCATGGATTAATTAGGCTCAAAACGTTTGTCTCGCGATTTTCAACCAAACTGTGTAATTATGGCAGTCCCAATGAAAAAAATTAGTAGTTTCTATAACATAGGATACCGTAAAAAAAAGTACTATTTTTCAACCCATGGTTTCTATGAGTAATAATTATTTTCTCTTCCAACTCTATCTTCTTTCTCCAATGGAAGTGCGATACGAGCTCCCTAGAAACTGGTGGTTTCTCCCCAATAGTGATTTCATGGTTTCTTGGTGCATTGGGTCAAGAGTAGACCTGATTTCTTCATGAGGAAACCATTTCTATGATTTTTGCTCTCTTTTTTCATTAATTACGTTGCCATGTCAGCGTTTTGCCTACGTGGCAAGTCATTTAATGAGGATATAAACCATCATCAATACACCATTGGGACTGCCCTTAGTTTTTTTTGTCTACATTTAATACTCCATACACGTATCACAAGATTCGATATGATAGCTACTGCAGCACCTTTTGAACTAAACACAGCCTTACTCAACTGCTTTTCACTAAACCATGGGAACTCCTAAAAGGCTTTGGATCCGCTACAGAGCGCGTGTTCAGTTCCATCCTAAATTTTCAAAAAGTGCTACAGTACCTATCACATCGAATGTTTGCGGTCTGTGTATGGAGCATTAAATGTAGACGAAAAAAAACTAATTGCACAGTTTGATGGAAAATTACGAGACGAACGTTTTGAGCCTAATTAGTCCATGATTAAACATTAATTATCAAATAAAAACGAAAGTGCTACAGTAGACACAATTCCAACTTCAGGGAACTATATACTGTATGCAGTGGTTCTTCTAGCGATTTGGCATGAAAAATATATTTTTAGTGCTACTCCTATATACTGTATTTATTTTAATTATCGGTGAAATACAGACACAGCAATAGTACTGCTAAAATGGCAAAATGGGCCATATTTCCTTTCCATAATGGCCTGTGCTGCTAGTCTGCTCCTCGTGCTCCACTCCATGGCGTCCCAGCACGCGAGTCACCCCACCTCACCACAGAAAATCATCACTGCAATCGAAGCACCAGCACTTGCACAGACTTTTGAGCCCCACACTATCTGCCAACCGCGCTACAACCCCGAACCTTAACCCATGGTCGAAACCCAACCCAACCCGGCAACCCCCAGGCCCCAACGGCCCAACCCAACGTCTCGCCACGTACTCCAAAACGGCAAAACCCAGACGCGGCCACGCATAAACGCCGCCTAAACCCCTCGTCGGTGTGGCTCCCGTCCCGTGTGGCCTGTGTGGCTGTGTGGCCGTGTCCCCTTCTCTCCCCAGCAGCGGCACCGCCCGCCACCACCGCGCCATGGCCGCCTCCCACCACCTAATCCTCCTAGTCCTCTGCCTCACCGCCGCCGCGGCCTCCGCCCACAACATCACGGCCATCCTGGACGGGCGCTCCGAGTACACGCTGTACAACAGCTACCTCTCCGAGACCAAGGTGTGCGACGAGATCAACAGCCGGAGCTCGGTCACCGTCCTCGTCCTCACCAACGGCGCCATGTCCTCCCTCGTCGCCAACCTCTCCCTCGCCGACATCAAGAACGCGCTCCGCCTCCTCACCCTCCTCGACTACTTCGACGAGAAGAAGCTGCACTCCATCGGCTCCAGCTCCCAGCTCACCACCTCGCTCTACCAGACCACGGGCCAGGCCGCAGGCGACATGGGCCACGTCAACATCACCGACCTCCGCGGCGGCAAGGTCGCCTTCGCCTCCGCCGCGCCCGGCGCCAAGTTCCAGTCCACCTACACCAAGCGCGTCGCCGACTTCCCGTCCAACCTCTCCGTCCTCGAGGTGTCCGACCCCATCACCTTCCCTGGCCTCTTCGGCGCCCCGTCGGCGTCGTCCGCCAATCTCACCGACCTCCTCGAGAAGGCCGGGTGCAAGCAGTTTGCGCGCCTCATCGTGTCGTCCGGGGTGGTCAAGACGTACCAGGCCGCCATGGACAAAGCGCTTACCCTGTTCGCACCCAACGACGACGCCTTCAAGGCCAAGGACCTCCCCGATCTGAGCAAGCTCACCAGCGCCGACCTCGTCGCGCTACTGCAGTACCACGCGCTGCCGCAGTACGCGCCCAAGGCGTCGCTCAAGGTCGCCAGCGGCCGCATCCCGACCCTCGCCTCCACCGGCGCGGGGAAGTACGACCTCACCGTCTCCTCCAGCGGCGACGAAGTGTCGCTGGACACCGGCGTGGACAAGTCCCGCGTCGCGTCCACCGTGCTTGACGACCCCCCGATGGTCATCCTCACGGTCGACAGCGTGCTGCTCCCGCACGTGATCTTCGGCGGCGCGCCGTCCCCCGCGCCGGCGCCCGGACCGGCCGCCGACGTCCCCGCTTCGGCCCCGGCTCCCGAAGGCTCCGCACCGGCTCCCGCTCCCAAGGCCGCCGGCAAGAAGAAGAAGAAGAAGGCCAAGTCCCCTTCGCACTCCCCGCCCGCGCCCCCGGCGGACTCGCCCGACTTGGCCCCAGCCGACGCGCCAGCGGATGACGCCGCGGACAAGGTCGAATCCAAGAAGAACGGCGCCGCCGCAGCGGCCGTGAGCTTCGCGGCCTCGGTGGCCTCTGTCGCCCTGGTCGTCGCGTTCCTCCTGTGAGCGAGCGGCAGGCGTTCGACGCCGAGCCCCCGTAGTTTTCTCTCCAAGAATCTGCGCGTGCATGTTGTGACGCGGCGAAATATGTTGTTGCTCGTGAGTTTCTCGTGGGCTCCATTGATGATTTGATAATGCTCATCAGGTGTTTCTTATTCCTCCTGGTTGGTTAGTTGGTTTGTTGGAGGAATTCTAGGATTTGGTCCTCCAGTCCTCGGGTGGAGACGGTGATTGTGATGACTTTTTGTAGTGTTAGAGCTCGAAAGTGTCATTCGATGTTGATTTGTTCTTGTTCTTCATGCTGTGTTGTTCTTTTCCTCTTGGTGCATTCTACCTATCAGCGACTGCACTCCACATGATCACATCCAGTAGTTTTCTGAATCCTTTTTTCCGAGGAGTTTTCTGAAGATTCTTGCAAATGCTTTGATTCTTTCTACTTTAGCCGTATCATTCGTTGTGCCAATCGAACTATGGATTCAGCCATTGCTGATGGAATGTAGTACTACTTATGGACTACTATGAGAAAGGGGACATGAGAACGAACAGTACTAAGAACGAATGGCGTTTTTCTCTTCTCTCGTAACAAATTAGCCTGAGCTTCAGCAGTAGCTAAAATTTCAGCTAAACCAACGGGCCCGGTCTAGTTCGTCGTCAAATATTGATTAATGAAGCATTTTTTACCTCATGAACTTGAAATTTTCACCTTCATTTACTGTGTCACTGCTTCACTTTTCCCACCTGCACACACAAATGACAGTAACTGCCCCCTGGTGCTTCATGTGACTCTGCATTGAGCCCTGGCACCGTGGACGTGACTACAACAGTACGTATACGGGTATACTACTCGCCACTCTTGCACTGTTGCACCCTGGCCGCGATGGTCAGGCCGTGGCCGTGGCAGGAGGAGGGAAGCACGCACGAGGAAACACGGAAAGCGACCGCTCCAACCGCGCACAGGCCTTGGCTCGGGACTCGGGAGAGGATATGAGGATCGCATGGCTGGCCAATATTTTTCTCGGTTTTCTCACGTTTTTGCCAATCTTTTTCGCTGGGGCTGGCCATGCTTTGCCCCTGCGGCGCATCCTTCGCTCGCGTCTTGCTGGCTGGTTCGGCATGGCCTCTTCTGTCTCCGCCTGTCGTCTTTCCCAGAAGTCCCTAGGATCCTTTTGCTGCTCCGTTCCCGGGGGCGATAAAGCGGAGCGGTCGGCGGTCGCTGGTTGTCTGTGACGATGGCGTAGTCCTACGGGCTATGGGGGTATGGGACTCGTGTGGTTAAACATGACTGCGAAGAGCCTAGAATCTGTTGGTAACCTATGCGCGGCCGACGCTTAACTGAACAATCTCAACTAATCACGTGGCCTAATTGCGCCCGCTAATGTTCCCTGCAGCTGACCAGTTTTTATCCCGGAAGTCTGCAATACTGCAACCGCAAATTCGGTAACTGTGTTTCAAACGTGCGGCGGCTCGATCGTCTCGCGATGGATCCTGAGTTTGTTCCGGAACTGTATGATGGATGGATCCTGAATTCGTGAAGAAATCGTGCGGTGACCCTGAATCACTGCATTCCACATTAGTAGTTTCGCAAATCGCAATGATGGGGAGGTAGAAGAAAGGGAGCGTTGACCGTTGCAGCACAGGCGAAACACAGAGAGGCACCGCGGCACTGTCAGCAGTGCCGTTGGACACTTGATTCCGCCGTGATCACCGATCAGGGTACTTTGGCAGCCATACGTAAGCCTGGGAAGTAATCGGAGGGGAGGGATTTTTTTGACAGCGGAAACCCCGTCCAACCACAGGGGAGATATCCACGCATGGAGATTGGAGAATTTTCCTGTTGTTGTTTGAAAGCGAAGGGCAGGTAGCTTCGGTCATCAAGAAAATAAGGAGCTCTCTATTCGTGGTTGTCACGTAAGCTAAATGCGTACAGATGTACATATTGTCACTGTACCACATCTTTCCAACAAAGATATATACACAGAAGATAGCACAATACATAATATGAATAAATTACGGCACCAGAATCAAATTCGTACAGAAGTTCTACTCAAGTATCATCTTTTCCAACAAAGCTAATATAAGAAAGTGACATAAGAAAAAACATAAAATGCGAGTGACATAAGAAAGTGAGTAACATAAGAAAACATGCATCAATCAAATGACAAATTACTCTGGATACAGTCCAATTCATGGAAAATTTAATTCAAGTAGCACCAAATGTTCAACCAAGCTAGCCCATTCATCACCAAGTCAAATAGTCATCTCCATGCACACATCTAGACAGACAATGAAAAATAAAACAAGATACTATGTTTTTGACCAAGAACTTCGGCACTAGAATAAATTATGGTTTAACTCCTTTTCAGAAGCAATGTTCAAGTTAAAAAAAAACTCCTTTGCATAAATTTCTCATAGGCATTGCATTTGCATTTTTCTTCTCAAATCATAAATTGCTTCCACCAAGAGCTCTGCAAGTAAACACAAAAAAAAACATTAGCATCTAGAGACATACCTAAAGTAAACATGAATGTGTATGGTTCCAAAAAAAACAAGTGTATGGTTCTAATACAAACATGAATGTGTATGGTTCTAAAAAAACAAGTTTTAATACCAAGCAGTTCTGTACAAAACATATGGTATGGTTCTAATACAAACATGAAATTTCAGATACAAAACAGTTATGTACAAGTGTTAAAAGTTTGAAGGAAATTAAATTAAACTAGCAAAGAAATATTAAATGACACAGGAACAAAGAAATGCTCCTAAAATAGAAGTGCCAAGGAAACTATAGAGTTGGCAACAACAACAAAACGGCTAAATCGATGACTGGCTCCCGAACCGTGATGGCATAATATCTCAAAGTACTGGTCTCTATCCTATGCTTGAAGCAGCAACCACAGATTCGAGTCCTATGCTGAACCCTATCAGTTCGTACCATCTCAATCTATCCAAACCATTGAATATTTAAAACCCTAAACACAAACACACTAGCAGATGAGCACCAGCTTGCTGTCAAGAATTTAGATCAGAACAAAAAAAAGGAAGTTCGGTTGTGCACAACAAGCTATTGACGGACAATAGTAGGTTGCTTGCTCTGAGCTGAAACAGAACACAGGACTATCGAGCTGCAGTTCAGACAAGAAAAACAAACAAGAAAAATGAAAGTGCCTAAACTAGCACTAACAATATACCTGCATATATTGTTCAATTTAGCAACACATAGCTTAAACTAGCACTAACAATGAAACAAGGGTTATTATTTTCAATTTAGCAACACATAGCTTAACAACCTGACAACAGCAATCAAAGATAGCCCAGGACAAAAAGAAAAATGAGAACTTGAACCTTCGTATATACCCCAGATATTAGTTAGAAGGACAGATTCAAATAATATACCTGCATATAATGACTGCAGCTGCATTTTTCTTCTCAATTCAAACATTGCCTCCGCCAATATTGCCTTCTCCAACATTGCCTCCACTAATAGCATTGCAAGTAAGCACAAGGAAAAGCATTAGCAGCTAAGACATACTAAAGTAAACTAATCTTGTGCTAATTAGTACGGGGAAGAGATATACCTAATCTGGCGCTTGAGCCAAATAAAGCAAACATTTTTATTTTTCATTTTCATGAATACCTGCCTGTTTATCTCAGATTTGAAGATATCCATAGCATAAGCCTTCTCCCCATCCGTAAGTCCAACCATTGCGTCCACTTCATCAAGACACTTGTGGATTGAAAATTCTTCGTCTTGTTTCTTCTTTTCGTTGAGGTCTTCCAAGATTTTGCTCGTTTGCATCTTATTAAACTGCACAAAATCCTCGATACCAAACCAATATGACTTTGCTTACGCTTTTTCCCACCCCTTGCTCCTGCACAGAATCTTGATTGGAAGGTGCAGATTGAGCTTCATTATGTGCACTTGAGAAGTCTATCCCATCTAAACTAGCAAATGGATTTGTGCTCTCAGAGAGTGCAGTGAGAGCAACTGGAGCAGCGGGAGCAAGTGGACCATGAGCAGGAGCAAGTGGAACAAGAGGAGCAGGTTCCAAGTTCTCGGTTGATGTGAAGTTTAGATCTCCTGTAGCCATACTTCCTATGCAAAAAAACTGTGCACAATCATACTTCAAGTGTAGGCATACTATAACTAAACTAGTGCTTTACTCTCAAGTAGAACAATAAGGCTACATAACCTCAGAGAGAAGTTTCAAATAACATACCAACATACAATGACGTACAATCTTCATATAAAAGAAACGGCTTCTTTTGGAACCTAGCCATTTTTCCATTATCTATTTAATACCAAGACAACAGCATAGTTAGTGCTTGCAACCAGAATATGGCAACAATTTTTTGGTTCAGTGAAAAATTTTTACAATAATCAAATTTTTTTCCATTTTGCTGGTTTCGCAATGACAATGGCCAACGAGTCATTCCAACCAACACCACTTTCCTTTTTCGCATCTCGTATCGTCTTCCAGCTGCCCTTTAACTCCTTTTCCTTCTCTTGTTGTTGCTTTGTGAAGTGGCAAAAGGAATCATCCGGTTGAACTTTTTTGAGATACTTCTCCAACCATCTCTAGTCCATCCATTCTGACCCCTGAACATTGGGATGTTCACATGGTTTCTCATAGTGTCAACAAGCCCTTTCTCATATCTAGAGTTCCATAATTCAAGATTGTGAGAATGTATTACAGAAATACATAAATCATAAAGTATTATAGAATGTATTGCATAATTTATTACAGAATGCTGCATCACAGAATGTATTACAGAAATACATAACTCATAAATTATTATAGAATGTGTTGCAGAATGTATTACAGAATGTTGCATCACAGAATGTATTACATAAATACACCGAGCCGCGGCGTGTGGAAAATCACCGCTTTCCACGTGGGTTTCTAGCCCCGGGAAAACGGCGGGATCCCGACGGGGAAAGCTGCTGCCAAAGTAGCCCTCACTAGCCGACTGGTGGGAGGAAGTGGCAAAAACACAGCCAAAGGAAA